GGGGGGGGGGGGGGAGCAAGGGGTGACGAGGGGGGTAGCGCGGGGTAAGTGCTATGGTTGCCCACCCATTGCCATCTTGCTCAAAATTCGATAAACCCTCGCTTTTGCGCCGTTGTACATGCTCATCTTCATAGAGTAGTAGCAAATGCCATCTCATTTCCCACGCGATGCACCGACGGCCATGCTGAAAGAATCTTGATCTCTTTTTCCCACGCCGACCCCTGCCCTGTTCGTCACATCTACTGCACACCACACTGCATTCCCCGCCCCAAGTCCGCTTGCCAAATCTTGGTAGTGCAAGGCTGTAGAACACTTGCACTTGGAGCAAGGGTCAGCCATGATGCTGCTTCCGCTGCTACCTCCAAATCAGTTGCGCAACCACTTGGCTACGACCAGGCATGGAATGCTGGACCGATGATGGTTCGGACTTTAGACAAGGACGAGCCCGATACTCGTGGTGCCGGCGATAGCGATATGGCGTTTACAAGTCCGCCATGACGCACATCGCGCTGCAACCATCTCTCCGTCTCAGACACTCGACGGCCGGGAGGCGTATTGTGTGTATCCAGAGGCGTGGCCTGGAGCGTGAACTTGCACACAAGTGGACGGGCAACATTCCACGGACCAACACGCCTGACGACACACGTAGCAGCGCTGCTGAGCGACATTGCCCGACCATTCTGCGGGATTCTGCTGCTTTGTCACCGGTCGAGAAAGAAGAAAAAAACAAAATGCACCACGCGCAGCCTCGTTCAGTAGGTTTCCGTCTTCAGCCCTACTGCTGCCTTGAGCGTGACGTGCTAGCAGCAATGCGCAAAACAAAAAGGTAGGCAAACATGCGTCACTGGCTGAGTAATTCGCCTAGGAGCTTAGGCGACATGTAGTAGGATTCCATGTGGCGTCCAATAGCATGCGAAGCCGTAATACCTTCTCACACTGGACAACCCGTAGGGCTTGACGATCCTGACTCGGGCTATCGTTCCCTCAAACTTATGCTCCACTATAAAAGTATAGGTTCTGCAAGACGACGGAAATAACCAAAAGCCGGCCTGGTTGCGATAGTAGTCTGAATCTAGAATAACCATGTACATGAGTATGTATGTATGCATACACAACGTTGGTGAGGAGAATTGGCTCAACCGCGGCATTGAACAGACAATGTTATTGCCAATATCTGCGGCAAATGTTCCTGCATGGGTTGTTGAATTCTTGAGTGGGGTTCTTTGTTTTCGCTTGCTGGTTTGGTGTGGGATGACAGTCGCAACTTGTAATGACAGTGCAAAAAAGAGCAAGACTTGGCCAGTTGCCGATGCAAGCCACTTCGGCAGCCCACCGTCTTAGTCATGGCCGTGTCCGCTGCAAGCGCAAATGTGAAGTTCCCACAAACTATGCACAGCATTTGTCAACCGCGCCATGATGCGATTTTGGACCCCCGAAACGCGTGAGCGGGCGGGCCTGCCTGTGCCGACGCCCGATGCTCGGGGTGTGCTTCATTGGCGTGCTCGCGTTGAGCGCGCTTGGTGTTGGCAGTGTCCGAGTAAGTAGTGTGTAGTCGTACACAATTGCCCTGTCTTGTGTGTCTGGACTCGAGCCTGTGCCGAAGAGACCCACTTGCAAATGTGACTGCACGATGCTGCGTCCTCGAGCACGCTATAGTGCATGCATGTCTCGAAGGAGTGCACCACCCCGCCCCAAAGGGCCATGATGCGGCTGATCGAGGCCTTGATTCTGCCTTGGGGGCTGCAGCGTGACGGAAACAAGAATGTGATGCGGTTGCGCAAATGGGCAGCCGCCAAAAGGTCGAGGGCCGAGACGCTCTGCTGCCAGACTGCCACGAGGCCTGACTATCCCCCCCGGTGCGGATGCACAGCGTTGGCGAGCGTCCGTGTGGCTAGGCGACCAATGGTTATCGGTGAAGACGCTGCTCGAGGCGCCATGGGCGCTTGGTTACTATACACCTCTTGTCTAAGCGAGCCTGCTGCATTCTGCCCAATATGCGACTAACGCCCACCACGCCCTCGCATCCTTCTCGACTTTGTTTGCAAATGACAGTCCGTCTCATCTACCCACGGCTTGTGCAGAGACGCGGTAGGCGTTCCCACCGCACTGGTCGTGCCCTCCTGCCGGTTACGCCCAGAAACCGGTGAACTCAATACCGTGCGAGCTTGGTCCGTATGCGGATACACGTGTATAGTCTACCCCTCACCTACTAATTCCAGAGAGAGAGAGGGTGTGTATGTGCGCGTGCGTCTGTGTGTGTGTGTGTGTGTGTGTGTGTCGTGAACGGTAGTTTGTCAGGACCTTGGCCCAAGGTGCTACTACAGCAACCAACACCCGGCGGCCACGGCAAGAGGGGACTCGTCGCTGGCATGGTATGCTTGACCAAATTACAGTAATGTCAGCTGCTTTGTCGTATGTGCCATAGGGCTATAGGGCTGCAAAGATGCGTCGAGGGGTATGCTGTCGTCAGAACGCTGGCTCGACTGGGTAGAGCGGCCGCTAAATATAGGCCCTACTATGCTCTTTCTCTGCCCCGACGAATCACCAAGTAGCGCACTCGCGGCTGGCGTCATTACCTGCCAACTCTGGCGACAGGATTAGCAGAAGACGCATTTGGCCAGCGGTTAAGAGCCTGTTATGTCAAATGCATTTGGACCGCAATTCGAATGCGAGTAGAGTAGTTTTGTCCACGGCGCCAGCAAGCAAGCGCTCATGTGGCCATTTTAGCACATTGCTCCCTCCCCCCTCCCCCCACGACTGCGCAGTTTCTCCTCCTTTTGGACAATACTGTGGCCGGGAAAATCTCCAGGAAGGATGCTGTGCTAGTAAATGAGGGCCCAGCAGTATGGCACTATACTTGACATGGTCACTCGCGCCATGCCCATCTCCACAGCCTACTATATGGACCTATGGCGCCCAGCGGTGAGATTCGGTCGGAACGCCCGACACAACGGTCGCCTAGGCCTGTCTACCTGTCTCGCTTCTGCTTCTACCCAATCACAGCTGCCCGTTAATCCTCGCTAACAGGGCCCGTCGCTGAGCTAGCCGCTATAGGAAAAAACAGGGGTCTTCCAGCCTTACACTCTCACCGTCGGGACATCACCGACTCTGATATCGCGTAGAGTATACAAGACAGTAGTTGCATTTGCGCTGGCCGGCGTAGTTTGGAAGCGGACACGCCGCAAAGCGGTGTGGCTCCAGTCGCAAGGCTGCACTCGAGTATTGCTAGTAGATGGATGCGCTTGGCGTTTGTGTCTCCGTACATTAGGCTTCCATGGCATGCACGTGTTGGACTTGCGATAAGTCCGGGAGTCCGGGGGGGCCACATCAGTCATGTCTAGTACCATGACGAGTCAAAATTTGCAGAACACCAAGTTGCACGAGTGAGCAGACGAGACATCCGGCTACTGCGCTAGCTGTCGTGGTATTCGTGGATGCTGTCCAAACACACAAGTCCAATTCGCGCCCGGCATGCTCCGCCAGCGGGCAGCGCAGGGCGTAACTTCGCCATGATGCGATGCGCAATAGCGTATTTCAAAGCACAAGTGCTACAGTAACCCCTCCGGTGGCAATGCACTGCTCCAAAACATCAAGACACTATTTGTAGAACTTGGTCGCATCTGCCTCCTTGTCACTGGCCTTGATTCAAATGGCCAGGTGCTGATGGTGCTCGTCTAACCACCGGCCATGTGAAAACAAAAAAGACTTGGGGGTGATACCATGGCCATGGGAGGCAGGCATTTGCTGGGAAAGCTTGTATAGACAACCACAACAGCAGCCCACGTTCCAGTCGATCTACACCCACGATTGGCAATTCTTACGGGTAAATGGTACCATGTCCTGTCCATCGGCGCTTTACAACCACGCCTATATTGCTCTTGAACTTTTGGAACTTTTCAAATGGGGGCCTGTGTTTGCGCACGGGCGATGTTCCAGTATCGTTGGCAGATTGCACAACCCGGTCATTAACTCAACGACAACTATTGCTCCAAACAGCAGCAGAGTGGACCCCATCGCCCGGGCCCAGAGAAACCAGCTCATATGTTTGAGGCAAAGTGCATCCCATCGCCATTCTAGACGAGCTCCATACCCCACACACACGGCCATTGCAGTGTCAAATGGCAGAGCCCTCCCACCACAACCAGCCCACCACGCATCTTGGGAACATGCATGGCTTCGGCATGTACAACAGATCGGCATGGCCACATTTCTCTTCAATTGGAGACAATTTTGCTCAGCTATCGTGGCCCACGGACATGTCTCAACTATCAAAGTCCAGCTCTCTAGTCGATTGGCCAGCTTTTTGCCATGATTCGGCCCCCACAATCTCCATGTGCTCGTCGGGGGTGGCCTGAAGTCGGAACACAGCCGCCTAGGGACAACAATGATGGAAGCGCTTCCGCATTAGTAGCGTCTCTCCGAGCCATAGATAGCAGCTGTCGGTATCAAGCCAAGTAGTATGCACAGCAATGGCTGCTACAAAGCACCCTCTTGGCGGGCTTGGGGGTAGATGAGGTGAATGGGAAAGCGAGTCGTCGAGGGCGAAGCGGATGAGCCTCGGCCGCTGGGCGTAGGGCGTAGCGTTGGTGGCCAGTACCACGACCAGACGCTAGAGAGATGCCATCAATAGAAAGAGCTGAGGGCGCGTCTATCAGTGTTTCGACATGGCGTATTTGGGATAGTGATTGGCTGATGGCACAATGGTTGATTATTCTCGTAGCAACAAGCTTTAGGCTGAAAAGACCTGGGGACTGTTCGCCTTACCTCACCGACACTGCAGTAAGGTGCTGATGCGGCTGCGGTAGAGCATGGGAGGATGCGTAGGGCTGCTCAAGTGTGAGACGCTTGTTCTAGGGAAATTCTGGGGCTCTTTGCGTGGCTTGCGTGGGCAGTGGGTGGGTAGAGGGGAGGGGGGTTGTCCAACGGTCGACTGCGCAGCGCAGTGTACTAGTTGGGGAGAGGGTGACAAAGCAGCCTTGGGTAGTGGTGATGGTGGTGGTGGTGGTGGTGGTGGTGGTGGTGGTGGTGCGAGGGCTGAAGTTGGTTGGCGGGGGGCTAGGCTCGATAGAGGATATGGTCGTACACAGCAAGTAGTATGGAGTAGGCTTCCTTCCCTATTCTATTGTCCACGACGGCACCGCACCGCAACGCAACGCAGGCCCAGAGAGTGCAGTCACCGTCGCAGCCGTAGCAGGCAGAGGGAGCCATGCACCATGTCGGCAGCGTCATTTTGGGACGGGCGAGTCGCGGTGAGTCGTCGCAGTGTCTGGAGATTGCGCATGCACAACGTCCTACGTAGGCAGCGCAGAGCTGGTGGTGGAGCAGCCAATGGCAGGTGGGGGGCTGAAGACGAGCAAGTGGGGCGTGCCGGCTCTGCCCAGTGGGCGCTGCACCCACGACGGCGCGAGGCACAGTGGATGGATGCGTGTCTGCTCTGGCTTGCGGCCCCCAGTTGCAGCACTGCATGCAGCATAGCGGAGGTGGAGGCAACGGCTGGCGCGGGCTGGCAGACAGAGAGAGGCGGTCGTCGAGCGTGGCCCCGCAAAGGCAAGCCGGACGAGCAACGCCGTGGTGGTGCTGTGAAGGCTCGAAGCGGACAGGGCCCTCGGGGGGAGAGAGAGGCATACGCACGCCGCACGCAGGGACCGAGATGGAGACAGCACACAGACTCGTGCCCGGGGCCGCGTGAAGTTCCGTCAGGCTCGAGCGGCCAAGGGACGTAGGGCTGTCGGCGATGAGCACTGGGCACACAGGGAGGGGGAGGAGGCAGACGCGTCGAGCGAGAGGCGGCATGGGTGGCATGGGGACGGGCTCGCAGCGCTGAGCTTGACGAGGGGGTCGCTGGGGGCTTGACAGGCCTGACAGCCATGATGCTGATGGTCACCGCTCCCCAATAGCCCGTTTCGGCGCCCGTTGCTTTCAGTACACGCCCATGCGCCCGCCGTCTCACCCTGCCGTGACCTCAGAAGCCTGCCGCGCCCTGGCCAGCCAAACGCTCACTGGCCCGCTGCCAGCCTGCGCTAGCGCCCATACTAAATTTACAAGACCGCAGTCGGTGAATGTACACCGGCCAGGGTCCCTCCAAACCGTACCAAATTGAGCAATGCTCAAGCCGGCTTCGACAGCCCAGGGTGCCTGCGCTGCGAGGGCCTGAAGCTGGGGACCAACACTAGTCCGTCTGTGCTCCACTCCAACGACTGCGGACGCTTCTTGAGACGGCGAGATAAATATAATGTCCTCCCCAACTGCCAGAGCCTCTTTCATTAATAGCCAGACATCCAGCTCAACCACTGAGTCTTGACATCTTCTCATTCTTCATCTTGCCTCGCCCATAATCCACCATCACCATATATAACATATCCTCCTCTTGAACAACCACCACCACCACTCCTCTACATCACTGCCTGTGGCTGCCTCCCTTAGCCACACTTTTACCCCACCCACGTCACCTTCTTCCACCATGCATCGACACGCCAGTTACCAGTATGCCAGCCCAGTAGCAACCACTACACGATACTCGGGCACCTCGTCAGCCTTCTCAGCGTCGGCAAACCCCAACGAGGACTGGACAAAGATCTCGGATCTTGCGGAGCGCAGGCGTATTCAGAACCGCATTGCTCAACGCAACTACCGCAAGAAGCTCAAGAAGAGGCTCGAAGACCTTGTGAGTTCCCGTGCTACCGCACCTCGTATAGCTCGGAACAATGTACTGATGCGGGTGCAGGAGCGTCGTGCTGCCTCTAGCTCAGCTTCACCTGAGCAGAAGCCTGCCGAGCTGCAGCCACCTCAGCGATCACCGCGCCAGGAGTTCCCCTCACCATCTTCTTCGGAATCTTCCTACACCACCCCACCCGCCGAGGACCGCATGTTTTCGCACCAGTACACCCGCCAGCTGTCCACCAGCCCACCACCCTTCTCGGTAACCTACTCGTCCGCCTACCCAGCACCAGACGCTGTAGCCTACTCCATGCCCTACTCAACCTCACCCTACCACACAATACCAACCACACTCACCACCGACATGCCAAGCTACGCCTACCTACCACCGCCGCACTCGTCCTCCTACTCGACTGGACTGCCAAGTCTGGTGCCCGCCATGAAGACCGAGTACTACGCCGAGGAGGACATGAGCCCGTTTGGTGTCGGCTACGCGGCACTTGGCGGGATCGAGATCCCACCACCCCACTCCTATGCACACTCAGTAAGGCTCCCTACACGCCAGCCCTACTACGCATAGACTTCCAGCTCTTCCGCTCGCTGCTGCTCTTCCTTCGCCGACCAATCCACTGACCGGTTCCGGCAGATGACGACGCCACCACTTGAGCACTCGGACATGGACTACCCAACAACACCAAACTCCATGCCACGAACGCCTCCCATGCATCCCATCTCCTCTGTGTAACGAGGGTGCTGTGGCGCGGATTCTTTTACCTTCTCTTCTCTGAGACTTGCAGTCTCCTGTCTTTTATGAATTATTACCCGCTTCTTCTCTTTTTTTTCTCTCTTGTTTTGCATCATCAGCGTCGGTCGTTTAGGAAAGGTTCCCTCACTTAACCAGGGAGGTTGGGCGTTAAGAGGTTGATTGTCTTTGTTGACAAAGTCTGTTTGGTTACGACTATTACCTTAGATTTCACCATAGGGACGTGAGCTTAGCGCCAGCGCAAGCCTGAGCCACGGTGACATGGCAAATGAATATTATTATTACCATCATCTGATTTTTTTGTGCATGTGATGACAAGCGATACGTGATGCACGCTCTTGCTCACCAACGTGCGTACATACTTGCAATAGGTATGTTGCGACGGACTGGAATGGTGAGGTGGAAGGGTCACGACCGTGCTTCAGGCGGTGAGATTGGCCTTGCCGCGTCTCGCGACGCCAAGCCTACAGCGACGCGTCGCAGTGTTCCGGTTGCGCGCGCCAACGTCAGCGACAATTATCCCCCCAATTGCAACAACACCACTTGCACTCTTCTATGGCTCCCATTAAACGCTCCAAGGTAGACAAGGCACGGCAATACCTCTCTGGCGGCGCGGTGTTCCGTGAAGACTCGGACGATGAGCTAGGCTACGAGGACCACCCATGGGAATGGATCTACCAGGACAGTGTCGCCGACGATACCCAGCCGAATCAGAATGCGACACCACGGAAGAGAAAAGCAGCCCCCGAACCGTTGGGAAGACACATAGTGGGTGCACGCATGGGCAGTTTCAAATGCAAAGTCGGCGACGCTGTCCTGCTCAAAGCAGAAGGAAACCAAGCATGGGTGGGCATCATCTGTGACTTTTACGAAGACGCCGATGAGGACGAGAAGATGGCAAAGTTCCTATGGTTCTTCTCCGAAAAGGAGATCCGAAACCAGAACAAGAAGCGCACCGATTTCCTTCCTGTGAGCCTATTGACACTTCGTGCACGCATGCCTGCCGACTAATTGCAAAACCAATAGAACGAGCTGTACATATCGGCTGCATTCGACGACAACCCGCTGGCCTCCATCAACGGTACGGCCAAGATATATTCCCTGGAGCGATACCAAGAACTACACCCAACAGGGGTTAAGAAGTCCTCCAAGGACTATGGCAAGGTATTCGTCTGCAGGAGAGGCTGTAACACACGAACGACGACATATACACCCGAGTTTAGGTGGGAGGATATTTACAACAGCGCCGAAGATATTCAAGCCCTGGTCGACCTGGTCGAGAGCCAAACAAAGGCCACAAGGAAAGGTCCGGGTCGGCCAAAGAAGCAGCTGCAAAAGGACCTGGATGAATTCGTGGTTCCAGATGCAGCGCATGAAGGCCAGCCCGAAACTCCGCGGAAGCGCCGGAAACTTTATGATGCGACTACGCCCACTTCGACCAAGAAGAGTCCGGCAGCCCGCAAATTCCTTACCCCATCACACAAGAGAATTGTCGTGAAGAAGCAATTAGAGTTTACCCCCCTGGGGACACGCGTACTCGACCCCTCTACCCTAAATTCGCCGTTCCAGATTGCTCGCAATCAACTCCATGTATCGTCAGTACCGGCCGCCCTACCCTGTCGGGAGGAGGAATTCTCTACCGTCTACAGCCACTTGGAGGCTGCCATCACTGAAGGATCAGGGTCTTGCATCTACATCTCGGGCACTCCGGGCACTGGAAAGACGGCGACGGTGCGTGAGGTCGTGGCACAGCTGCAGGCGTCGGTACAAGCCGAAGAGTTGGACGATTTCATATTTGTTGAAATCAATGGCATGAAAGTTACAGACCCACACCAGTCGTACTCGCTGTTATGGCAAGCACTGCGTGGAGACCGGGTCAGCCCGTCTCATGCATTGGAGCTTCTGGAGCGCGAGTTTTCGACTCCGAGCCCGCGTCGTGTTCCTTGCGTCGTCCTGATGGATGAACTCGATCAGCTGGTTACGAAGAACCAATCTGTCATGTACAACTTCTTCAACTGGCCTGGGCTCCGGCACAGCAGGCTAATCGTCCTTGCTGTAGCCAACACAATGGACCTGCCTGAACGAACGTTGAGCAATAAAATTAGCAGCCGGCTCGGTAAGTTCCAGCATCTCTATTCTACTCCCAAAATGGCCCCACACACCGAAACGCTCTCTTGTTCCTAGCCACATCCACATCCACATCCACATCCCCATCCACATTCCACATTCCACATTCCAAACGCGGGCGATCTTCAACGGCGTGCACATCACAATTATGCATATCCATTGCATGCCACGTGACCATTCGTATTGCTTACTGCGCCGGCAAGACTAACACGCTTCCCGCCTAGGCCTGACACGCATCACCTTTCCGGGCTATACGTACGACCAATTAATGCAGATTATTCAATCGCGACTCCAAGGTGTACCAGGAAATATTGTACATCCTGATGCTGTTCAGTTTGCAGCCCGCAAAGTTGCAGCTGTTAGTGGAGATGCTCGACGCGCGTTGGACATTTGTCGAAGAGCGGTAGAAATCGCCGAAACCGAGGCCGAAATCAAATCACAGGACCGAGATAATGAAGTCCAGCCGGCTACACCAAGTAGGTCCGGCCGGAACAACAAAGCTAACTTGGTTCCAACCTCGCAGTCAATCACAACTACCGGAGAGCTGGTGGGTCACAGGGCAGATCAGGCTGGGCATTCAGCCCAACGACGGGGCGTAGTCACAATGGTGACGATCAAACAAGCAATCAACGAAGCAACGAGTAGTCCCCTGCAACAGGCGTTGCGGGCTCTTCCGCTGGCTTCCAAAGTGTTCCTGGCAGCACTCTTGGCAAGGATACGTCGCTCAGGTATTGGCGAAGCGGTGCTTGGTGATGTTGTGGATGAAGTAAAGCGATTGGGCCTCATGAGCCAGCTGCGACCTGTCCATGAATACGTTCTCGCGCCAGAGAAGGACGATAGAATAGACGGAGGAATCGGCGCGGTGGTGCAGCCATCGACGCCGTCGAAGCACCGTGACGCTCCTAACATGGGCTCGAAACAGTCGGACCTCAAAGCTGCGAGAGCGCTTGGTCTTGCGCATGCAGCCACTGAACTCGCTGAAGCAGGCATCATAGGAGTGGAGGCCCGGCACGGCGAGCGAGTGGGTCGCGTACGGCTTGGTGTTGGCGAGGATGAAGTACGGCTGGCGTTAGGAGATGATGAATCTGTACACGGCTTGGGACTAGGTGCGTGATACAATTCTCGAACCACATCTCCACCAATTATTCTCTGCACAGCGCATTCCTCCGGGTTGGGGCTACTTGTACAAGGATATCTTTTTTTGCTTCCCGTGAACCAACGCCTTGGTGTTTCAACGACCAACAAAAGGATGCGTTTTTTGCGAAACCCTCCCGCCCTGGTCATGTCGTCCTGGACTCCCTTGTCCGGCTAGCCCCCAGTCGCTGTTGCAATCGACGCGCATGGTCCAATGAGATACTTCGCAGATCTACCGGTCAGAGTCGAACGGGCCGCCGACCGGGATCAATCGAGCGAATACATTTATTTAGGCGATCTCGTCGTATATTAGCCGTGTCCTAACCGTTGCAAAGCCACAGGTGGCCTGGCTTTCGCATTGCTCGTGAAATTCACTACTTCAATACCATGCGATTGCGTCCATGCTTTACGCCCCCCCCCCCCTCAAGCATATGCCAACACGCCTTGTGTGCAATCCGAAAAAAATCGGGGAGGGTAAAACAATGCAATCACACCGCAGATCTTGAGTTTGCCTGCTAATTTGTGCAACGCACACGAGACCAAAACACCACGAATCAGTCGCCGAACTGCTTTCCCTGTTTTCCGGTCTCAAACAGCCACGTCGGCGATTTCACCTTGCAACACATGAGGCTTTGACCCCTCCGATTCGCATGCGTCTTTGCCTCCCTCGCATTCACCACCAAACCAAGAAGGCGAAAGAAGAAAGAGAGAAAAAAAATACGCCGCAAGTCCAAAACACCCCAATATGCCGTTGATTCAGCCCGACCCTTTCAACCCCCACTCTTTCCACCCCCAAATCCCCATCCTTCCCTCTTCCCACCTAGCCTTCCCGCACCAAACCATCGAACCACGCGCTTTAAATCACGGTCCTATTTTTTCTTCCCAGCCTTATTCAAATTATCCCCCCCCCTCTCCCTTCCATAAGAACCACTGACTCACTATATTAAAACACTAGTTTTAAAAAGGGAAAAGAAACATCATGCCATATTCTTTTTGGACACCAGATGACCTTACCACCCGTTTATCATGACCCTTCTTTTTTTCGGACGAAAAAAGAAGGTGCAAATAATCTAAACTGTTGTTCGGTTCATGCAAGCCCGTGTAGCATAAACAAGGATGAACCCTTTTTTCTTCTCTTGTATTCGCTTTTTCATCGCCCGTTTCATATATCTACTTTAATGCCGTTTATATACCCAATCTCAACTAAGTAAAGTGAAAAAGTAAACGAGAAGAAAAGGAGAGAGAGAGAGAGAGAAGCGGGTAGGGCGAAACAGCCACACATTGCACAAGCGGGAAAAACGGATAATGCAGCCAGCCGCTGCTTGTGAGCATGGGTCTGGGGGGAAGGGGGTCCAGTTTTATCCCGTCTGTCTTTTAATACTGCATTTGCTATGTGTACTATGTTTTTTTTTGGGAGGTGAAGGGTTGAATGGATTAGATTAGTCCAACGGGAAGGTGGCTCGCAAAATACCGAAGAGCAGCGGATCGGACTAAGCTCCGGGTTTCCCTATACTCTAACTAGCTTCTTGGAGGAGGAGCGGTGGGAGGGAGTTGCTATACGCCGGCGATTAAGAACCCTTTTTTTGAAGCTGGGAGAGAGAGAGAGAGATGACGACGGGATGATGATGTTATGCCGATTTTTTTTTCCCTTCCGCTCCTTCTGGCATCGCAATACATCGTTCTTTGTGTTTTTTTCTTTCAGCGAGGTAAGATAAGGGAGGGGGGGATGCCCCGGGTACTGGGTTCGGGACTTGGGGGAAAGCGCAAGAATGTCAGAGGTGAAGGGGGAGGCTAGACGGTTTCCTCTCTTTTCTGAGATACGTGGCGTGCCGAAGGGCTGCGGGAAGGGAGGGAACGGGGGATATGCTGGAGGTCTGTGATGCGGTGGGGGGGAACGGGAGGGTAAGGTAGGAATAAGGTTTGAGGATACGGACGTAAGTACATTTAGGTGTAAGGTAGGCTTGCTTGCGGGTTAGTAGCCCAGCGGAGCTTTTTCCGCTGGCTTGGATGGGGTTGTTGGTGTTGTTGGGTGGGGTGGGGGGAGATGAGAGAGCATGTCATGGGCCTAGTATACTAGGCTAAGCTAAGCTAATGAAAGTCGAACCGCTTCGTGAGTCTTGCTTGTGCGCTCAACTGGGGAATGCATGCTTGGTTGGTTGATCCAATTTGTACATGTCTGCGAGAGTGAGAGACGTGTTGGTTCATCTAGCGTTTCAATGTCTCGTGCATGTTGTGTAACACAGGTTGGACACATGACGTGACGAGTGACATTCTTGCCTTCTTTGTCCGAGCATGTTGTGAGAGAGTCGTGCATGGTCTAGTTTGTTTCAAGTATCAATGCCGTGTGTTCCGTGGAGAGAAAACTGAGGCTTGAGATACGTGTCTGTTATGGCGTGGACGGAGATGCTCGGTGGATGAAGGTGTGGAGGTTAGAGTCGATAGCGTGGTTTGGATGGGTGGCGAACTAAGTTGTTTGGACAATTCAGTCAAGGGAAAAGATGCACGAGGTAGTTTGAGAAGGCAAGCAAATGTTCAACTAGATAGATAGCAAGATCAATTATACACATGTGAGAGAAGAAGAAAGATGCCAAACATCTACGTATAACCCAGGAAATTCTAAAAAGACAATCCGAAAAGCGTGTTCTCCTTCTCTTCTGCTTCAGGTCTATCGTATGCAGAATTTCAAAGACATCCCTATGTATAATAACATACATGTCCCAAGAAGAAATGGTGGGTAATGGGGTATAATTTTCTCCAGAGGAGACACAAACCAACCCTTGAATAACGCCCAAACCTCCCAGTCTGAATACTCATATCCTATACATTTCCCATGCCCTATCATGTCGCCGCTGCAGGAACGACGACAAGTTTCTTTTTCACAGCCCTCATATCACCAATTGTGCCCTCTTTCCCCTGTCCTCTCCCTACTTCAACCACAATCATCCTGACAAAGTCTTTACTGAGCCAATAGCTACTGTGCGCACCGAGCATAGTCAGGTACTGAATCTCCAAGGGTCCACCACCATATTTCATGTAATAGTCAATTTGGCCATTATCGTTGAGAAGGTACATTCTCTTTTCTGCAATCTCTTCTCGCGTAAAGTTGTGAGTTTCGAGCTCGACGTTGCTGGGTAGGCGGGCAGTGATGGGTTTATTGGCTGTGGCAGAGGCGGATTGCGACAAGTTTGAGGAGCGGAAGGGATTGAGCGAGGAAAAGTACGACGTCGAGGCGGAGGGGATGGTGGCTTGTTTGAGCATCGATGCGTAGACAATGTCGACAGTTGGGTTGATGCGACAGGCGACGGGATCGTACGGGTTGATGATGTTGTAGATGTTATCTACTGCGAGACAGCCATATGTGCCTTGTTCACCGGCTACGCCTGGTGCAGCGTACGAGTCTGCGCCGGGCTTCTCCTTGTCGCGGCGCGGAAGGAGGTTTGCGTTCTTCATGAGAAGAAAGAGACCGACTGGACTACCACAGACGAAGAGGTCGGTTGTGTTGAAGATGAATTGGTCTTGAGGTAGGTCGGCTTCAGGAAAGGACGGCTCTGTAAATTGGGGATCTACATAGGTTGGTTGCTGGCTTAGAATGTCAATGGCCATTACGGAGCCAAGTGAGTGAGCGATTAGGTGAACCCGACCGTACTCAGCGAACCCAGGATTGTTTTGACACCACAGACGATAAATGCGGTTTGCTTCTTGTATACAGGCTGATACCATCTTGGGGTTGTGCAACGGCGAGAGATAGTACGGAATGTCGAGCATCACATCGCTTACAATACCACGAACTGACGGTAGAGTATCCGGAGTAATGTCTTTCAGTGTATATTTATTGGCAGAAGGGTCGTCTGGCTCTTCCACTTCGGTGTTGTCGACATCCAAGGAGACACGATGTCGCCAATTGACCTATATCTGTTAGTATATTGTAGGTCAAATTGCCGTCCACAATGACTTACTGGCAAACACATTACGCCTCCCATATCCTTCCGCAGATGGCGCTTAACATCCGGCGTTCCAAGTTCAACATTCATTTCGCGTCGAAAAGAATTCATCGCGTGCGTAAAGTGAAAGGTTTCCATCCTCTCTGACAGCTTCTGCCCAATGCCATGTATTACAAGCACAAGATCAGTCACCTTGGGCCTTTCGGACAGCGCAAGGGCAGGATCTGACTTTTGTCTCTGGTACGGCGGTGCCCCAGCTTGCGCGGTTGAGACACCTTGACGTGCCGCTTGTGCTTTTGGCGAGTTCTTGCTTGGATACAGCTTGTCCCAGATGGCCTGGTCGAACCCACGTACGACATGAACACCAATTTGCCTTCCCTTGCGGATGTAGTTTGCGAGTGGTCTTCTGCCATAATAGTCGGACGGCTGGAGCGCAGGTTTGAGAATAAAGGCTTCTTTTTCGTTAGAATATATCACACCAGCTTTCAAGTAGAGACGTTTCCGTCCGTCAGCTCCATATTCGAGGTCGCCAGCTGCTTTGTGATCAGGACCGTCAGGGCCTGTGGAGATGTCAATCAGATCACATGCATTCTCAACAATCTCCCGCCGCTCTTTCTCGGGATCATCGTCGTCTTCTGGCAACGTGTTCTGAACCAGGCTTGTGGATTGCATTACTTGTGCCGAAGTCGACGGCCTACTCTCTGACTTCCTAGGCTTTTCAGGCCAGAGGTGGTGCAGAATCTTCATTTCACCAAAAGCGCCAACCTCGACGGCACTGTTGAGTTCGTCCATCCAGGTCTGCGTCCAGGGCTTCATTTCAAGGTATCCGACTTCAAGCATGTTGGCAACTTCCACCTCAACGGGCATCATGCTGTCCTTGTAGAACCACGTTCCCCGAACTATCTGGGCAACATCACTGAGCGGCGACCAGTATATGGGTTCCATTCGTATTGAGTCTGCGTCCATGACTACATGGTGCAGCCTCGAGACTCCAACAGGGACTTTCGCAGATGGGCCTGGCTTTGGCTTGGAAGGTTTCGCGGGCCCCTTATCCTTGGCCGACGACAGCGCAGGTTCCATGTCATCATCCCATTTGTAGCTGTCTACTTCATGTATTGTCGGACGATGGCTTCCCTCTGGGGGCGTAGGCTTCCACGATTTGGTCAAGTTCCCTCTCGAAGGTGCTCGGATAAAAGGCGTACCGGTTGTTGTTGGCTCAAGGGGCGATATGGATCCGTGATCATGTGCGTATGGCTTAAATGAGCCTGACGTGGAGTGAGCATGACTGCCACCGCTAGAGTCTGGTCGCTTCCTATCAAGCATCTCTGCAGACCTTGAGTACTCTCCTCTACCAACCATCTCCCGGCCTGGTATGTCTCTTCCTGGAGTGGAGCTTTCAACGCTGGAAGCGCTGCCCCCTCTCTTCCTCTTCAACCGCTCTACTGCTGGGTTCGTTGGCGTGCCTCTCCCCGTCCCGTCCTTCTCACCAAACTCCTCATTGTGCTTGAGAATCTTCTTTCGGAGCGCGTGCCATGCCTCCTGGATAGCTTCATTGTCGTATTCGGAGAAAGGTCGTGGAGGTACCCTTTTGGCGGTCGAGGTGCCTGTTGGTGGTGGCGGTATGGGCGACAGCGGGTCATCTATAGCGAGCGGCGATGTGTAGAAATAGCGAACGGGTATGGCTGGAGGAGTCTCGGTGTTATGCAGAACCTCACGCACATATTGGTTGGCGCGCGACGACAGGGTGGCATCGTCTGCAGCCATGGTGGATGATGGCATGGCTGGATCGTCGAGTGCTGCAACTCTTAACAGAAGCAGCCGTATTAGGGTTTCATGATATCATGATGGTCAAGGGGAGATTATTTGCCTTCCTCACGTGCACATGAGCAGAGATGACGAGATGACAGCTGGCTGCAAGGAAGTGGAAGCCTTGGAAGGGTGGTTGTTGTAGCGCAGTACAATTCCGATCATCATTCGGAGCACTGACGCAACCGCTCGTCGCCAAAACAAAACGCGTGCCCCGGCATGTGAACAGTCGTTCAGCCGCCAGCCTCCACTCCACCCATGCACCTCATCCTTCACGCTTCCAGATCCACAATCCCATGTCGCTATCACCCCCATTCGCATGTGTTTCCCTGCTGATGGCAGGAGAACCCCATCTGACCAGATCGGCTGTCGGGCATGGCCATGGCCTCTAGCAGTCTGCATAGCGTCTAAACCATGACATCTCCTGATGCAAAATGCCTCGAGCCAGAGACCCATGTGGATAGGCGGGTGCAGCAGGCCATGCAGGCTACCAGGCTACCAGGCTACCAGACGCGACTTGAACAAAGCGACAGTCCGCTACCCCGCCCAACTATGAGCAAAGAAACAGCAGCCTAGTTACCAAGACTTCAACGCCTCACCCGCTCGAGCATCACATACAACAGAATCGGCACGTCGACTTTCGCCTTTCACCCAAGCCACAGCCATATTGATATTCTTTACTTTGATTTATTTGCTTCTGGCAACTTAGCTATATATGTACACACAGTCTCCAGTTTTTTAAAAAGGCATTAAGAGAAACCCGCTTAACCGAAAAGCACATCACCGAGACGGATCGACACCGTCTTGGTCTGGATGTAGTTGTCGAGCGCTGCCTCACCCAACTCGCGGCCAATACCAGACTCCTTGTAACCACCGAATGGCAGTTGCCAGTGAAGAGTGTTGTATGTGTTGACCCAAACTGTTCCGGCCTTGAGCGCATTGGCAACCTCGATGGCAGTCTTGAGGTTGGTGGTGTGGAGGGCGGCAGCGAGACCGTATGTGGTCGAGTTGCCAATCTTGATGACCTCTTCCTTGGTCTTGAACTTGGAAATTGTGCATACTGGGCCGAAAATCTCTTCCTGCTGGATCTTCATGTCCTCGGTAACGTTGGAGAAGATGGTGGGCTCAATGAAGTAGCCCTTGTCACCCTTTCGCTTACCACCAGTCTCGACAGTGGCGCCCGACTTCTTGCCATCC